CTATCTTTATATTCGCTCTTTCCCTACTTTTTCTTCCCTTGCATATCAGTATTTTAGTTTTACTTTTATTTATATTCATACAGTACTGATCTGTCAGTACCGCTTCCATTTTATTTAAAGCTATCTCTAACTTCTCCTTGCTAGATGCTAATACTGCTATATCATCTGCAAATCTAAGCATACTAATCTTTTGCCCTTGCGCATCTATCCCTACAGTTGTACTGTCTTTAATGATGTTGATGGCGTCTTCGATGTATAGATTAAAAAGTAGTAGAGTATTCCTTTTAATTTTTAATTAAGGTTTTTAAGAAGTTTCTTAGTTTATAGCATTCATTTGGATGTTTTGCTTGTTTATTCTCCTCTGAGTATAATTTTTATTTGAGCTATCGCTACATTCCTTAAAAAGTCATAATTATTACTACATAACTAAGAGTTAGATTACATCAATCGATCAAGCGTTTCACTAGAAATTAGGTATAGATACTGCTAAAAATAGCATTGTGAAATTTTTGTGTTTTTATTTCCTTTTTTTTTATCTGATAAACAGAATTTTCAATTTTTTTCTTATTTCAAGTATTACGTGGATAACAAAGTAAAACATCAGTTTTTTTTTGTTAGAATCAATTTTCTGAAAGATAAGTAAAATCAGATAAAAATTATCCCCGCTCCCCCAAACGAAATCCTGTATCAGTGCCACATTTAAATTTTTCTTTTATATTTTTATATTTTATTTTGTTCCATATATATGTATTGTTTAAGCCCAAAGAATAAACAATTCTAGTATGTGTTATGTCAGTGTTCGGATGGGGTTAGATTTGTAAGGGCTCGTATCAGGCAATATGTTGCTGTTAACTATTAGTTGTTAGTGGAATAAAGCGGCACCACCAAAACTAATTGGAGGTGCTATTTGTTATTGAGGTTAAGAACGCATAAACGTTTAATTTTCTTTACTTATACTGTACAATTTAATTTACAATATGGACTATGTACATCGAACCCGTTTCTTTGAAACTATCTTAACCTACCTTGGAAAACTTGTAAACTGTCTTTGAATTATGTGAGCTGTCTCTGAATTATATGAGCTGTCTTTGCATTAAATTAACTTGAATATGTAAATAAAGGGGTGCAGTGTAGGGGTCCCTTTCTATAGGGTTGTTCGGAAAGTCATTTCGTTTTTAGCATAATTCCACGCTAATAAAATTTTTGGTCTTTGCTGGCAAAAAACTGATCGAGGAGGTTTTTGACCTCCTCATTTGAGGTGAAGGTTTTACCGTCTAAAAAATTTTGGAGTGACCGGAACAAATAATAATCCGATGGTGCCAGGTCTGGAGAATATGGTGGGTGTAGCATTGTATCCCATTCAAGCTGTAAAAGCTTTTGGCGAGTGACCAAACTTGTGTGAGGTCTCGCGTTGTCTTGGTGAAACACTACACCTTTCCTGTTGATTAGTTCTGACCTTTTCTGTTGAAGTGCATCATTCAGTTTGTCCAGCTGATGACAGTAGACTTCCGAATTAATCGTTGTGTTATCCGGTAAAAGCTCAAAAAAAACGATTCCTTTAAAATCCCACCAAACAGACAGCATCACCTTTTTTTGGTGAATATCGGCTTTGGAAATGGTTTGAGCCGGTTCATCTTTTTTGCTCCATGACCTCTTGCGTTTGACGTTGTTGTATACAACCCATTTTTCGTCCCCAGTGATGATGCGCTTCAAAAACGGATCATTTTCGTGACGTTTGAGAAGCGAATCGCAGACGTCAATGCGGCGACACAGATTTCTCTCTGTGAGAACATGGGGAACCTATACATCGAGCTTCGAGGATAATCCCAGGCCCTTCAAGTGGTCATAAACGTTGAATTTGATAAATTTAACCTCAATCCGATCTCACGTATTGTTATTCGCCGGTTCACATCAACTAATGCCTTTATCGCG